CTTAATATTGCTTCTGTCTTTTATGTTTGGTATGTATATATGTTTTTGTAATCCTTGTCTTGAAGGAACCTCTTTTGTATTCCATTCCCATATTTGGTTTATGACTAAATAGTGTTGCCAGAGATGATGATGATAATTCCTGGGAAACGAAGAGTGAGAGATGGCCCTCATTCATTAAGGAAAAAATAAAAAGAGGTATTTGGTCAATACAGACTCTCTATATCGCTATACTGCATAGATCTTGTTTTTAGATGATTTTGTGTCACCTAGGACTGATCAACACAGCTGGCCAGACTTTATTCTGTATCTAGCTATTTAAAAGTTTAAAAGCTCACCAGAGAGCTTACGGCTCTTCTTTTTTTCTGGAGTTATTGCTCCCTGGTTGGCTTGAAGGCTAGCGCTAGCCTTGTAAGTACTCATTTGAATGTGTTTTGGTATTGCTAGCCAGCTGCTGCAAGACATTTTGGAGTTGCTTTAAAAAAGAAGAAAAGCAGATGAGAGTCAGGTGATGTTACATTTGAAATTTACTCGCCTTCTGGATTTCTGAAATTAACGTTTTCAAGTTTCTCTCTGCGATTAAGAGAACAAAAAGCATATAGAGAAAAAATAAAAACTGAGTCCTACGTAATCACAAGAGTTTAGAAGGTGGGATTTTAAGGTAAACATTGAAACATCAGCGATTTATTGATGTGTTTGCAGTAGCTGTATTGGGTTTACGTGGCAAGGTTTTGGTGGGGAGGGCTACAGGGGTGGCTTCTGTGAGAAGATGCTGGAAGCTTCCCCCATGTTGGACACAGTCAATGTCAGATGGCTCCAAGATGGGCCTGCCACTGGCCAAGGCTGAGCCCATCAGTGATGGTGGTAGCACCCCTGGGATAACGTATTTAAGAAGGAGGGGGACCAAGCTGCTGTGTGACGGCAGCCAGAGGAGAGGAGTGAGAAGATGTGAGAAAAACAACTCTGCAGACTCCAAGATCAGTGAAGAAGGCGGGGGAGGAGATGCTGCAGGTGCTGGAGCAGAGATTTCCCTGCGGCCCATGGTGAAGACCGTGGTGAGGCAGCTGTCCCCCTGCAGCCCATGGAGGTTAACAGTGGACCCATAGAAAGAGGAGCCCACACTGGACCAGGTTTGCTGGCAGGACTTGTGACCCCCTGGGGAATGCACACTGGATCAGTCTGTTCCTGAGGTACTGCACCCTGCAGAAGGGACCCACGCTGGAGCAGTTAATGAGGAGCTGCAGCCCATGGGAAGCATTTGCGTTGGAAAAGTTCGTGGAGGACTGTCTTCCATGGTGAGAGAGAGAGAGAGCCCACACTGGAGCAGGGTAAGAGTGTGAGGAGTCCTGCCCCTGAGGAGGAAGGAGCGGCAGGGACAACGTGCGATGAGCTGACCACAACCCGCATTTCCCATTCCCCTGCGCCACTGAGGAGGAAGAGGTAGAGAAATCGGGAGTGAAGTTGAGCCTGGGAAGAAAGGAGGGGTAAGGGGAAGGTGTTTTAAGATTTAGGTTTTACTTCTCATTACCCTACTCTGATTTGATTCACAACAAATTAAATTAATTTCCCCAAGTCTGTTTGGCCTGTGATGGTAACTGGTGAGTGATCTACCTGTTCTTATCTTGACCCACAAGTCTCTCATTATAATTTCTCTCCCCTGTCCGTCTGAGAAAGGGGAGTGATAGAGTGGCTTTGGTGGGCACCTGGTGTCCTGCTAGGGTCAACCCAGAACAGTAGCTCTGTTAGCACGGCTTTGATTACCCATTGTCCTGATGTAGTTTTTAGGTGTTTGATCAGTGCAAATAACTAAGATAATGGCCTCATTTTGGGTGATTATTTCTAGACACAGCCACTGCCTTTGAAAATAAGCAGTCTTGAAGTGCAGAATTTATTGCAGGGTGTCGTTGTGAGGTTTTATGGTCCAGGATCTTTAGTGGAGGATGCAGAGAGCTGCACACTGAAAGTCCCTGTGCACAGTACAGCGCCTGGGGTTTCAGCGGACTTCGGTTCTGCTGTGTGACAGCAGAGGGGGCTGGTGCCATCCCCAGGAGCCGGCACCGCTCCGTTTACAGACACCTGCTCTCGGTTTGCGTTTATGTGTGCACTGTTACAGTGAGGAGACTGGAGGCTTTTATTAATGCAGAGAGGTCTGAAAGAGCGGTGTGTTTCTGTTTGTGATTTGGTGGAGGTTTTGGAGCTATGACGTGTGGGAAAAATGCTTTACCTTGTTGTTACAGGAAGCCCGTGAGAATTGGTGATGACCGTGACAATTGGTGCTGACGATGGGGAAAGGTAGGTTCCGTATTGAATTCGGTCCTGCATGGGGCCGTACAGGAAGATACGTGAACATGGCCAAAAAGAGCACTGCGGTTTGGCATTTTAACTGTGCTGCATAGAACGACTGCTACATGGCTGGAGATCGATCTTCATCCCAGCTGGGTGTAGAATCTGGTGATTGTACAGAAGAGATTAGAGAGACAAACAGCAGCTTGGTGTGCCCCTCGCTGTAGATTACAGAGATTCCTTTTGCTGCAACAGTGAGCTGTGAAGACTTGGGTTAAAAGTCTCTAATCATCCAGCTGAGAATCTACTTGTAATTAAGTGGGTTTGTGGACAGGAGGGAATGAGTCCGTTTAAATGAGAGAAAAAGACTGCAAAATTTCCAAAGGTACGCACTTCTGTTCTAGCACAACTCTGACAACACTTTTATTACGAGAATCCTGCGTATGCGTCTCTTTAAACAGATCCAACAAATAAATTCTAAAATTCAGATCTAACTGAGGAGCCAATATTAATTTCAACTACCATGCCTAGAAGGAACTCTTAGAATAGAGAGGAAACATTAACCATATTGAAAACACTAAACACTGGCCCTTTTCATGTTAAAAAGTTTGGATAGAGAGGGCCCCCTTAACTTGTATTACATGATGTCTTTTTAAGTGCTGTGGTTTAAAATACTAAATACATTTTGGTTTGAGCTATTGCAGTAGAAGTCCTCAGCTTAGAAAAGCAGTACTTCCTGAGTTTGTGCCACCTGCTCTATTAAATGCTTTTGAGATCAATACAGGAAAGATATTAGGCTGTGACGATACTTTGTCCTCTAGAACTGCTACAGGAAGATGATAAATCTGAAGGATGCTGGTAATGAGAGATGTGATTAGCAGCCTAATAAATAAG